GACCTGTTCTCCCCTGCAGAGGAAGGCAGGACGCACTCCGACAAAGCAAAGCTCAGGGAGCCAAGGTTCTGTTTGGATGCCAGGAAGCACTTCCTGACAGTTAGGACCCCAAGGGTGTAGAATGGGCTTCTACAACAGGTCGTTAAGGCCCATCGGTGCGGGTTTTCAAGGATAGACTGGATGTGCACATGTTGTGAGCGCAGCCGGCTGGTGCCAGAGGTCAGACTAGATGGCCCGGGAGGCCCCTTCTGACTTGCTCTGTTTCTATGTTTCTATGTTTCACTTATCCAGAGGTGGCAGTGATTCACCGAGTTTATGAATAATGAACAAGCCAATGAATCAGCAGGAGCAGAACTGTGCATGTACCAACAGCCTAAAGCTGCGTCCCAAGAATCTGAAATCAAACTATGGATTATAGTATTGCAAGAGTAACTGTCATAAAGCAATATTTCCTACTCAAAGGAAGAAAATATTTAAGGTGAAATGTTGGGTCTATTTATGTATTTAAGGGGTTTTGTAGCCTCCTGTCAAGATTACAGTGTGGCATAAACTGCACATCTAAGAACATGCTCCAGAAAACCTCTTAAAGCATACAGCTTATGGACTCTGTCTTGGAAATCCAGACTTTGGCTCATCCTCCATATTGTATCATTTATGTTTTAGCAAAATTCAAACCAAGCCTTTCAATGTCCATCCATCATCAAAATGTCTCTGTTCTCAGGGTTTTCCTGCAGTTCATAACCAGTACCACACTGTAGTAATCATTACAGATTAAAGATCACCACTTTTGCTTAAGCTGTTTTAGGAAGGAGTTACTACTGTGCAGCTAAATCCTGACAGAGCCAAGCTAAGAGTAAAGCATCCAGACATTTTTACTTTTTTTGGTATTCATTTTTCCCTTTTTTAATTGAGGAAAAGCACAGTGTTTATGCATAGGGAGGAGTTCTATTATAAGGATTATTCTTTGCTACACCAAGCAATTGACAAGTATAGGAACATACACCAGTCTGTTCAACAGATAGCACCCACATTGCTGAAGACATCAGAGAAGAACTAAAGATGAATTTCAACCAGGCTTTGAACTGGGTTCTTTAAACAGCCATTTAAAGTGACATGGGTGAGGTATCACCTCAGCTGAAAATGGGCCTTGTAACTCCCTCCATTCTGAACAGTAGCATGGCTGACCTCTGCAAGAGCAGAGTGCTTCTCAGATCACTTCAGCACCAGACAATGCTCTGAATGATGGTACCTCTTGAACAGCATTTCAAAGCACTGGAAACCCTTTTCAGCTGGATGTCTGAGCTTATTTCTGGCGTGTGTAGAAGAATTCTGAGTGAAGGACAGTTGTGGTTTTTCTACCATTTTCAACCACAGAGAAAGAAAATGCGTATACATTGCTTTTGAATTTAATTTTGCAAGAGGAAGGAATGTACTAATGATGTCATTTGATAAAGGGGATTTTTTTACTTTGCAGTTTTCTGAAGGATTCTAGTTAGAGAAGGAAAACTGCCTAACTAGGTATTTATCAGCAACTTAAACAGACTCCAGATCATCAAAGCACAGTTCTAACATTTAAATTTTTAATATGACTAATGGACTCAGCACAGTCTATCCATCCATATTTTCCTTAAGCTACAATATTAAAAAGAAATGCTGTGATTGAAGGTGAATTAGTGTCCGTAGCTTTTTCTAAAAGGGTCACGGTTGCAACCATTACTCTTGCAATTTGCTTCTTAATTTATGCAGGCCCCTTTGGCGCTATGCCCCACTAGACAATTAAGCTGATGTAGTTTACACTTGGAAGTAGGATGCACTAACAGCAAAAGTAAGCTGAAGGGCTTCAGCTTCAGATGCATTTCAGCGTATGCTGCTTTAACATAAAGATGCATTTCACTGACATGCAGTATTTGCAGATATGCTCCAATGAATCAATTTCTTCTGTTTAAGAATCAAAGTCACCCTGATGCACAGTGACCTAATTGAGACATAATGCTAAACCAGCTTCTAGGCCACAGGCTGAAATGTGGGTTTGTAAGTTCCCCCTTCCTCCAACATGGCAAGAACAGATGCTTTTACCTGTTTTCAGTCAACTAGACAGTTTTATCCCAATTTAGGCAAACTGTATTTAAAGAATTTAGACAAAGCATCATTTACAAAGTTGGCCCATTTTCCTAAAGCTAAGGCTAAGCACAGTTTGTGGATTTAGATGCAACAATCCACAACAGTTAAAGATGGAAGCATAAACTGTGCCAGAGGAAGAGCGGACACCCATGAACCTCAAAGCTCACGCCCATCAACAATTGTTTAGTGTTATATCTGAACACAGGTCACAGAAATCAGTGGGGCATGGAACTGAAACCTTTATGCCAACAGAATGGCTTTTCTTATGGCACACTATTTAGAGTAGGGCTAGACAAACCACAGCCCTCAGATAGTGCCTTAAAGGTAAAGGTTTCCCCTTGATGTTAAGTCCAGTCATGCCCGACTCTTGGGGGCGGTGCTCATCTCCCTTTCCTAGCCGAGGGAGCCAGCGCTTGTCCGCAGACAGTCTCCGTGGTCATGTGGCCGGCATGACTAAACACCGAAGTGCACGGAACGCTGTTACCTGCCCACCGAAGTGGTACCTTTTCATCTACTTGCATTTGCATGCTTTCGAACTGCAAGGTTGGCAGGAGCTGGGACGGAGCAACGGGAACTCACCCCGTTGTGCAGATTCGAACCGGCGACCTTTCGATCAACCAGCCCAGCAGCACAGCGGTTTAAACTACTGCGCCACCTGCAGTCCCGATAGTGCCTTACAGCTCCCCCAATTCCTGCCAATCTGCCACACTAGCAAGGATGACCTGCAATCCAAAATGTTGGAAGGCACATGGTCGCTGACCATTAAAGTTGAATAATTCTCTTTTCTGTAGATTCGGTCCTTGGGTTCTTAGGGGTCATTAGTCATTACAGTAGCTGGCCTTTTCCGAAAAAGGAACCAGACAATTTCTGAGCTACAGTTAAAGACCTTCATACTGCCTATTCCTATAAAGGGCTATGAAAAGCCCTCATCTGAAACCCTGGAGAATGGTTTACAGTCAGTATAGAGAGAATACTGAGCTAGATGGACCAACAGTCTGACTGTATAGGGCCAGCTTCCTACATTCATTACTGCTATTTATACTTCATTCTGGATTGCATCTTCAAGCATTGCCTCGCCACTAAGATCTGCCTGCAAGCTTTCTCAGCTGCGATGCTTAAAGCTGTAGGGCTGATGCAGAACTAAATCAGGCAGTGAGTAGGTGCCATGCTCTGATGTTCTACGTGACACATACATCCCACATTTCAGCTCAGTCCCTTATAATTCCTGCACCAGTCGCTGCACACTGCAAAAATTTTCATAGCATGGAACAAAGAGGGATGATGAGAAATGTCAGTGGAAAATCTGAAACAAAATGCAACAAGCGGCTTATTGCGCAAAACTTCTTAAACTTTTGATTAAAAAATTCTCCTGTGAACCGCAAGTACGTTCCATGGAAAACTAGGGGAACTAAAGCAGTGAGTTCATTCTGAAAGAGCGCTCACTGCAGTGACTCTAAAATATACCTACTCCTCTATAGGTATGAAGAGAAAACAGCTCTGCAAGTTTTTAGTAAGCCAGCTGTGCACACTGACTCGCTTGTCCCTGGGATGTCCTCCAGTTCCCAGAATAGTTTGGCTTTTTTTTCAACATTTTGTTTACTCAGTTTCAGACAAACAAACAGGTATGTTTCTGAATAATGATGCAGTGCTTTTAAAAATAAAAAGGGTGAGGCTGCTTGAAGCCCTGGCGCAACAAAGCACTTCACTTCATTGATAGGCATGCCTGTTATTTTATCTGCAAAGGAGGGAAGATTTATCTCCTGGTTAGGTCCATGCTGTGTGTCTTGTTTTTATAGTATGTCTGTCCTCATCATTAGAACTTTTTATAGTATGTCTGTCTTCACCACTTCAAGTGTAAAAGTGCACAAAATGACCACCTCTGTTTTCTTTGCTATTGACTTTGCATCACATTTATATATTTTACAAAATTAAAATAAGCAGTTTATAGCAATTGCAAAAAGCAGGCCTCTATCCTGTTGCACCAGGAATTTCATGATCAAACTCAGTCTTAAGAATAGCTTCAGCTGGAACAGAAGCATTTATCTACATTGTCGGTTATCACTTATAAACTGTCTGCTGTTTCTTTCCAGAAATAAAAGATATATATTTGTAGTGGATTTCCAATTATCAGAGGCAACTTTGAAAGATCTGTAGTTGGCTGCATTTGACACAAAGTCATCAAGAAATGCCAAGCTCCTATTGGAGACTTGTACAAAAGAAAAAATAATCCTGAAGAAATTAAGTGGCTAGAACAGAGGAGGCAGATAAGAAAGTCTTCTTAACATCATGTATGAATACAGCTCTAAGTAGTTAAAAGGCTAGTAACACATTCAGGGTCCACAACATACTGATATACACAAAATAAAAAGCTTTGAAAAGATTTAGTATTATAAATATATCATCTCTGTCACAAAACCTCAGTTGGGTCACAAAGTTTGGCATTTGGGGAAGGGAAAGTGTGCATTTTCTCATCCTATAGATCGTTTCATATAAATTCAAAATCCCAGTCTAAGGCACAATGTTATGTTCAGGCTAACGATGTTCTTGTCTCCATGGATTCGTGGAGTTACTACCAATTACAAAGCATTAGAAGGAGAAAGAATTTTGCAAAGGTCAAAACTGAATCATAATGAAGTTAAAAGGTGAATCCTACTTGGAGAGCAAGTCATTTTTTCCAAGCTGTTCTCATGCAGGTG